TAAAGAACTATTTATTTAAAATACTTACAGGTGAATTTCTATTATTAGAAATTTTCAACTTGATTAAAGATATTGGAAATAAAAAGTTTGCCACAGTAGTTACTGATGCTATATCTAATTGCTATTTTGCAAGAAAAAAAGTTCAAGCAAAATATTCTCATATTTGGAATATATGATGCATAGCACATACAATCAATCTAATTGCATCTAATCTAGTTAAAGAAAATAACATCAAAGATTTAATTAATAAATGCAATAAAATTGTAAAATTTTTTAAAGAATCACATAGAGGTAACTCATATTTAAGACAAGGTTTAAGTCAAATGAAAATTTGACTAAAAGGTCTTTATTTATAGTATCGAACTTGCTGGGCTTTATTATATTTTACTACAGATTCTATATTACATGCTAGACCTGTATTTGATTGGGTAAATAAATATATATATATATTTTTTGTATAAAATAAAAAATAATATTTTATTTATTATATAGATATTATTAGAACACAAAATACTAATGCTATTGGCTGATAAAGAATTTTTTATATCTTGTCACCAAATTAAAGCTCTCTAGACACCAATTAAAAATACTATAAATATAGTAGAAAGTAGTATGGCAAATTTAGCCAATTGTTTTAATTATTTAATCAAACTTGCAGTGATAATCCACCAAATTTCTTCAACAAACCTATTTAGACAAGTTGCAATCAAGATTTTTAATCAAAGATTTAAAGAATTTTATTATCCTATTTACCTTTTATCATACTATTTATATCTATACTATTATAGTAAGTATTTATATATTTAGTATTTTTGTAAAGATTTTTTAAAAATAAGTCTAAAAATAATTAAATTCTAGGGTTTGGGCTTAAAGATAGAGGTTTTAAAGATGCAGCCCTTATCGCTACTACTCTTTAAAAAGCCTTGACTATACAGATTAAAAAGGTCAATAATTAATTATACAAATTAGACATTTTGATGCAGGATTTTTTCTATATGATTTATCATATATACCCGAGATAGATACACTAATTTTATAGAATTTTATAGTAGGCATCAATAAAAACTAAACCCAAACACTTGTCTGAATTAGCATGTTGACTTTTTTCTATTTCTCTATCGCAAGCAAGTTGTGAAAGAAATTTTTTTATTTTAAAATAGATAATTGGTAATAAAAGAGTGTGATTAACTGTTAATAAATTAGAAAGCATGATGAAAATCAGGTCATATTATATGGCAAATATAAAATCCGAACTTAATAATTATGGAAAAGAATTTACTGAATCTGAATTACAGGGTGTAGTTAATATTTTTGCAGTAGCTAAAATAATGGATTTGGAGAAGGACTTGTTTTCAAAAAACAGCTTTGAAAACTTCAAATCTACACAAAATGTAATGAATGACCTTAATAATGTTAGTTCAGGATGGATATATATAATGGCAAAGCAAGATCAGAATAATTTTATTGAACAGACTAAGACAAAAGTACATTTCCTTCGCTTTTTTTATTACAATTGCTAAACTAATATACTTACCAATACCTAATACCTTTTCTTTATTACATATGATTCTATGACTATATTTCTTATACGAATATTATAATTTAATAATTACTACTTTATGACTATATTTCTTATGCAACAATGTTATTGTGCAATAATCAATATTGGGTCGGGACTTGGAACCTGATTAATTATTCAATATCAGGTCGGGAACTTGAGACCCAATTTGCGTAATGTGTACTACATCATGGAGAGAAATCACGAGCTTGAGGCTTTGCGGATTTGGGGCTTTAGCCTTGTTAACTATGACACAAAATATATTATTTATTTGTGAGATTGTTGATTTGTCTAAGTATAGCTTTGAAAATAAAACACTTGTAAATAGTACTAGTATATCAGATAATCCTGGAAATATAAATTACTTACCTGAAAAGTTGGTGGATAGATTTTAGCTGAAGAAATAGTATTAACTCAAAATTAGTATGTATTTAAATTAGCATGTATTTAAATTAAAAATTAATATTAAAGCATTGCATGTAATAAATATAACAAATAAATAAATTGAATTCAGAAATTGCTTAGTTTTTACAGTAATTCATATATATATTACATATATTATTAGTTTTATTACTTTTAATATAAAAATACATTTACGTACATACAAGGTAATAAAAATTCTATACTATAGCATAAAGCATATATTATCATGGTGCAAATTACAACCTATAGCACATATTACAACTTATAACACATATTACAACCTATGGTGCATTTTATGACCTATAGCATATATTACAACCTACGGCATTATGCTACATATATCACAACAATACAGCAGGTATTATTATATACCATGACATATTCTGGGTTATAATTTTTTAAATACATCTACACCACTACTCACCCCATATATACTATATATATACAATACAGTCCAGTGTTGGGCTCACTTATAAGTTTAGTAAAATTGAACTAGAACTGGACTTATAAATAGTTCACTGGATCTATAAGTCCAGTGATCTAGTTTAAAGCAGACTTAGAGTCCAAAGCCCAACACTGCAATACAGTATACTATAAATAATATGATAATATATACAGTATATTTTTTACTTTAAAATTTTATTATTAAATTTTTTGCTATTAATTTAAACACTATATACAGTATTATAAACAAATATAATAGATTTTATACTATATAATATAGTATTATATAAATATTAAAAAAAACAAATTATCTGCTAATACTAAAAAATTATATAAACTATAAGTTTGAATTTCAATTACTTGAACCAAAATTTTCTACCAAAAAAAAAATTTAATACTTGTTGGAGAGTTGTGGTCTAACATAGTGATTTGCCTAGAGGTCAATATTTTTTCTTTTCTGGAACTCTTCTATAATAGATATTTGATATGCAAGCCAAGAGTATTAGTATATAAGATAACTAGCAGGTGATGCCTTTATATACAAATTTTAGTAGAAAAACAAGAGTTTTTTCTATTGATGAAGCTCTTAGATGGTTACTTTAAAGAAAAATACAGAGAAAACAACAAAAGTTTTGTTTTTTAACACATTTCTTTGGATTTTTTGAGTATATTTACAACTATAAACCTTTTTACTCTTCTACTATTTTTTCTTAATCTGTTTACAAAAAATGAGCAATCTGGTATATCCCACCTAAAGATTGGCATTGTTTATCCCTTTCTAATTTGATTAATTTTAGTAATACACAACTATATGTTTGTTTTACAAGCTTGTCAACACCTTACATGACAATATTGCAGGTATTAAAGAGTGATTTGAATATAAAGACCAAGTCAAAAAGAAATAGTTAATATTGAAGTATATGCTTTAAATTAGGAATATACAATTTGTTGTAATTGTTATATAATTTTTACAAATCTTGTATGGGTTATAATAGTGTATTTTTAGTATTTGAATAGTTTGATTTATTTTTTGTCAGAACTTTTTTTTTTTTTTCTGGTTTTTTTTTTTTACAATCTATATTCTTTTTTTTTTATATTTTTGTTTTTTTTTTTGGCTGTTTTCTTAAAAAATTTTTTTATATATTCTTTCTTTTGTCTTATGCTCTTTGAGAAAAAGAAAAAATTAGAAAGAAAAGATTGTAGTCTTGACAAAGTGTATAGCAAACCTGTCAGTGATCAAGAAGGTATCCTTATGATACAAAATTCTTAGCAAGTTAAGAATTCTGAGAGACAAACTAGTAATTATACTGTAGTAGGTTATATTAGGCATAATGCTTGGTGAGTCTTTTTTAGATTAGAACAGTATACTATAAAGACTTTGTACTTTATATCATCAATATAGTAGTCTAGATAAATAAAGACAAGACTGTTTAAAAAAATATATATACTGTATAAGTTTGAATTTAATAAATAAATATATATTTAATCAAAATACAGTATAATCTTATTTTTAGCACTAGGCTTAAAATATAAAACCTTTTCATTTTTCATTAAGTTTAATAAAGATAAGAGCAAGATCTTACCTTAAATATTAAAAAAAATAAAATAAAAAAAATACAGTATAATAAATATGTATATTGTAATATATAGTATTAATTAAGCTATTAACTCTTTTTAACAATTAGGGTTTTTTAAAATTAAATTGAATCAAATATTAGACATATTTGAGTTTGAATTGATTTGAAAAATATGTATTTGAATTAAAATTTGTATTTGAATTTGAAAATTTGAAAATTTAGCTATTTTTAAAATCTTCAATTTATACAAAATTTGACAAAACTAATCGAATTTAAAAAATGTTATTCTAATCAAAATACTCTTAGCTTTATACAATATGGGATCTTTACTATGAAAATGATTTTGTTAAATTTACCAACCATCTAGTAATTCAATTTGAATAAACTTTTTTTCATTTATAGAATCTACTAATTAAAAAAAATTTCATTCAAATTGGATAACTAGATGGCTAGCAAATTTAATTTTTATTCACAAAATCAATATAGCCTATAATTGCCTTAATAAAATTTGAGAAAATTGCTATCGTATTATAGTTTTAATTTATAAATCAAATATTTATTGATTTTCTATATTTGAGATCAAATCAATCAAATCAAATCAAATACTAACAAAATATTGGATATAATATAACGTAATAATACATTCATTAGCTTAAAATTAGAATTAAAGTAAGAATAAAATTAGAGCAAGATCTTCTAATCAAAGTTTTACTCGAACACAGATGTTTTTTTTTTCAATCGTGACCGTTTCACTTTCACATTGCACATAAACATGTATCCTAATAGAAATATATTGCGCCAAATTAAAATAAATTCCAATTTTGGGCAAAAATGAATTAAAAAAAAAAGATTTTTCATTTTATTATTTTTATTTAAATTATACCAAATTTTTATTTATTTTTTATTTATTTTTTGTTTCTTAGAATGAACATTTATTTAGGTTAGAGTGCCGACTTCCAAACTATAACCGAAATTATGGCTAACCTATTTGAAATAATTTAGGCGTGCACTCTCCTAAAGATATAGACATAAGCTTCTTCAAGAGGAGGTTGGGGATCTTCTACAACTCTGTTGTCATTGAATAAAACCCACTTTTGATCTTTACGTACGTGAACAACATAGTGGCCGCAATGTACAGATGTACCCTTGTGAGAGATGAAACTCTGTAGTTGATATTCGGCGGGTAAAGTAGAATCTAAAGTGAGGAACTTTATTTTAGCTTATGAAAAAAAAAACAATTGCATGAAATCGAATTTTATGAATTAAGAGTATTAATAACCTCCAAAAGTATTAATAGTGTTACTGCCATCAGCTTGTACCGGTAAACTATCGGATTCATCCTCAGGATGACTAAAGAGCCATTCAACAGCACGTTCTATATTGCCATTCTGAAAAAAAAAATTCCAGTCAACCTACGAATTGGAGCATAATCGTAATAAGAATGTAAATAAACATGACTAACTGTTTCTGATAAAGCTTTCCTAACTCGTGTTTCTGAGAACCCCATCGCCATTAACGTGGAGGTATCACCTTCTGAAGGTTCTTGTACATTAGATACAGATGTCGAACCCGAAATCGGCGCATCAATATCTTGATATACATGAAAATCAGTGCTTTGTATAAAAAGAATACAAGTATTATAAGCGAAATATTATAAAAACAAAATTAACCTGCATCATCCATGTGCTCAAACAACCAATTCATTGCTTGATCAACTCCGTTATTTCCAGTAGCAATCAATGCTTTTCTGCAACGATTCTCAGGAAAACCCATTTCGAGTAACTTATTAAGGTCCGATTCATTAATAGCAGGTGCTGCATAAAGTCGTTCTGAATGTATCAAATTTGAAGATCATAATAATATATTATGCGTATTAGAGTATACCAACCTGCATTTGATTCTTCAGGAAGCAATTCTTCGTTATCCTGTCGCCCATGAGCAATGTACTCGTCAAAATTATAGCAATCTTGTTCGAAAATAATGGGAACAACTAAAAATTGAAATTAATTTAGAAAAACGTATATTAATGAAAAATTTTTACAGAATTAAATTCCTTACCGATTTTACGAGGAACCCAATTTTCTTCTTCAAATCTTCGTGTATGGACTACGAGAACTTCGGGGAATGTTAAGAATCTTGTGTTTCTACAAAGTGCATAACAGAATAAGCTCATAGTTTACACGCAAAATGAAAGTTAACAAATTCGTTATTGCATCCATACGTCATGGCAACAGTCGTTTTATTGCACGCCGGGCACTTATATTCAACTGCAGAATCCGCAGCGAATAACTGTAAGCATTTTTCGAAAGTCACAGGTTCGTATTTAGCTTCGTTATTCTCATTGGTTTCAATTTTATTCGTAGGTACTGAAATTGAAATGGAAGATTCTGTGCTGTCCTTATATCGAACCCGTTTACACTCTACGCATTGTAAACGCCTTTGAAATGTGAATTTAAATACATTGGTCGGATCATTTGCTGGGTTATTATGCTCCCTACGTTCAATTGTCGTAACGAGATGTTGAAAAAACTCAAAAGCATCCTATTTAAACGAATAGCCGTAACTTTCGATTATGTAAGTCCGAATATTTATGTCACGTGACCATATGGGCTAGGAACTATAAAAAGGAACGAAATCTCTTTACAAAAAAATCAATTTCTCGCGAACTATCGATCAGAATCACATGATTTTGGTACCATTCGATTTGTCTCAATGAGACGAATCGAATGGTGTCAAAATCATATGATTCCAAGCGAGATAATTGATTTTTTGTAAAGAATTTTTTTGTCGATTTCGTTCCTTTTTATAGCTCCTAACCCATATAGCAATAATGTAATAAGGTACAAACTTGTTGCCGCATCGTGGAAAACTCCTCGTGTCCTTTCCCAATAAGTGTCTTAAACATGCCTGGAGCTATACCATCTTGCTCTGATTGTTCATTCTCAGCATCGATGACTTGAATAGGTTGGGAATAGCGACCACTTAATAAACCATCAGCAAGTTTAGATAATTGGCACTGAATACAGTTTGCTGGATTATCCTGCGTGCATTGCTTATGGTGCTCCATGGCAGTCGAGTGATATCTTGTTTATAGATTTTCTTTAGTTGTTTGAATAATGATCAAGATAAAATTATTTTAATTAACTATTCATTGCATACCTTTGTTGAAAAACATCCAAAGAAAATATGGATTGTAGAACAGATGCCATATAGCAACTTTTCACAAAATAACATTAGCTTAAAAGTATTATATATATAAAATTAAATTGCGCAATTAAAAAGCCATCCTTACCTATTACCTAAGTTTTTAATACCGGTATAACCAGGACCGAATAAGGGCTCAAGTTTCTTACCATCTTTTGTTTCCATACTCCAATTAAACATTTGGTTTTGCTCGATGTTCTAAAGAGTAATTGTATTTAAAATCGAAGATTACAAGAAAAATTAAACCATGTTATATACCTACCAACTCCGTAATACTCTTTTCTGTCTTTTGTTGCGAAGCAACATTGATCCCAAAGTTAGCCAAATGTTTGTCCAGATATGGGTCTAATCTCGAATCATCACACTCATAACAGTATATGTCTTTTGAAAAATTTAATGTTATTCTCTTAAAACTTATTCAAAAAAAAATTTAATTTAGATATTCACCTGCAGTGCCTTCAGGAGTAATCGTTCCTAATTTGCAACTTATTGAATGTTTCGTTAGATTATAATGAGCCAAACCATGCCCATTTCCACCTACTCCACCAAATTGTTGCCGTCCACATCCGAGGTTGCCACAAACTAAGCATAGCCAAAGATTTTCTTTTAAATCACAATTATTGCAATGTGCTAAAGCTATAATATTAAACCGTTATTTTTAAATATAAGATTATATTAATATTTAACACATAAAAACTTAGCAGAGAATAAACAAACTCATACATTGTGATTCTAAAGTTCTTGGCTGTTCTTGCACTAAATCACGCGTATGATCACATATAACAATATTTCCTTCTTCCCATGCTTTTATTTCCGATTGCTTTGCAGCCGACATAGAAGTCATTACCGCATCGATTACGGTGGGCAGCTGTTTAAGTGTATAAGTTTAACAATCGGATGACAGAGCCTGTAATGTGAGAGTAAGTTTTTCTTACTTACGTCACCAGAATTCCTATCGATCTCAATACCTCCACAAGCATAACACTTTACGTGCGTGATAAATTCGTACTTGTCCTTTTCAGACTCGGGAATAATTGCGAGTTTACTGATCTTTTGAGGTGGTTCTTCATTTTCATCAGCCTACATGTATTATTATGTAATAAGTCATGATTAACAGAAATAACTGAAATAGTTATCAGGATATTTTAACATATATCGGATATACCCTCTTAGGTTTGTCTTTGATTAATCGATAGATGCTTAGTACTAATGGATGATTTGTCTTTTCATAATGAATTTGGGCATGGTGTCTTTCAGAATTGTTACATCCGGCGTTAAAACAAGTTAGACATACATCGATGCCTGGTGCAAGATCCTAATATAAAAAGAATTGAATTTAACTAAAAATCAATCATGTAAAACCCTGTAGCCAGATAATCACCTGTGAATCAAAACACTGCGTACATTCTTCTTTGTGCACTTGAGTAAAGGCAGACGGAAGTTTACAATGGCCGAAGACGTGAGGACATGAAACTTCCATGCTTGTAAGTTTAAAGGACTGAATTTTTCCACCAGACTTTATATATAAAAAAATATGTTGTACAAAAAGTCTAGTTTGTTAGAATATCTCGGAAAGAGTGCCGATTTAGATAGATAGAAAGTTGGTCACACCCCGATTTCATTTCGAAAGCACAATGATTTAAACCGATTGGATCATAGTCGGTAGCTGAATAGAACAGTAAAAATTCGTTGCAATAGCGCATTAATCATAAAAAAAAATATAAAGGGTTTACCCAATTCATTAGGTATTATTTTTATGAGGATGCTTTTAGCAGAAGCAACATACGTATAAAGCTTTGCCCTGTAAAAATATTAACCTTTTATGGTGAATATGAACATAACGATAAATACAAACATTTCACATTTGAATTAATTTGAATTACAGGGTTAAAATATCGACATATAGGGAAGTTCTTTAAACTACTCCGAGAAATATTAATGAGAAACAGGACATCAGGAATCACGCGGACACAACACCGGGTA